GAGGAAGTGGCTGATTATCTGGGGCAGTAAGTGATTATGGCAATCTTGGAATATCTTGTTACATCAGAAAGGAAGGAAGCTATGGAAGACTACTGGTGTCATGACAAAGGATCCAGGAGCCAATCTGAAGAGGCTTCCATGGGCCAAAAATGGAGCAATTCAAGCATCAAGATGAGTAATACCTCAGAACAATCAAATCGCTGATGAGAAATTTCTCTTGATAGATGTAAGCTAATAAATGAGGAAGGAATGATAGAAATAGCATATGATCATTTTGCTACCCCCCAGTGAATTAATGAATATCTATAATGATCATCAATGGGCAGCTAACATTACAGACAACCAGGCATTTTCACCCCCTAGTGGAAGCTCACCATTGTAAAGTTTTCTTGATAAGAAAACCTGAATCCAATACGGTAGCCATTAGCAACATGTATCTATTTCAATTTAAATTTGAATTAACCTCTATGTGCTGTCCAGTATGGTAGACACTAGCCATTTGTGATACATAAATTTAAATTAATCAAAATAAAATAAAATAGTTAAATCCTTCAATCACACTAGTGCAGCAGCCACATGTACAGATATATAGAACATTTCCATCATAACAAAAAATTCTACTTATCAGGGCTGAAAATCTATCTACTAGTCTACAGGAAGTACAGGGAACTGGAGGACATGATTTACATAGTATGAGGATTCATTCACCCCATCCAGATTGTGGGAAACTCTATAGGACAGATTACCCAGGTCTTTCAACAAATAAATTAGAAGGGGAAAAAAGGGAAAGACCTATAGTCTAAAAGAGATAAGAAATACACCAGCCAAATGTAAAGTGTGGACCCCATTTGGATTCTGATAATTAAACTCTGAAAAAACAATAACGAGGCTATGGAAGAAATTTGAACACTGTATATTTGATGACACTAAGAAAATATTTTTAGGATAGTGACATTATGATTATTTCTAATAAAAGATTCACTATCTTTTAGAGCTATATCATGAAATACTTACAGAAGGAATGATTTGATGTCTAGATTTAGCTTTAAAGTAATCTAGTAGAGAGAGAAAATGAATCAGGGCATAGATGGTATGACTTGCCACATGTTGATAACTCTTGAAGTTGGAGATTCCATTAAACTATTCTGTCTATTTTTTGTGTATATCTGAAGTTTCCCATGACAAATGTTTAAAAAATGACAGTTTATCTTTTAGATTCATAAAGTAGGTCTGAAACCATTTTGTATTTTCTGCTGTTGTGTCTTTTTGATTCCCCATGTCAGAAGGTCTGGAGCATAGAAATGGTGGCATCACCTTGAGCTTCTTTGTTCTCTGACTTGCTTTCTCACTCTGTATTGGTTACTTAAACTTGCTTTCCCATTACACTAGCTGTAAAACCACGTAGGTAGGTGTCCAGCAGCAATCTGATATTCAATGAATGCTATGACATGATCTTGACATCAAAAGAACCATGGAAGATGTTGAAAGTACAAAGATGAATAAAATATACTTCTTGATTTCAGGGAGCTTACACTGTCATGGAGGAGGTGTTCATATGATTCATAGTAAATAAATTACTATAATAACAAGGTAGGCACAATGTTTAGAGAGGTCTGAAGAAGGGATTGGTCCATTATACCTTGGGGTGATGTTAAAAAAGGTTTCATAAAGAAGATGGGCTTTGCACACATCTTGAAAGAATGAAATTGTGTTTTCCAGGTTGACAGCACAAGCAAAGTCAGACAGGCCTGGAAAAGGCTGGCATGTCTGGGAGACTACACGCACACATAGTGCCTCACTGCTATAGAGGTATCATTAGTAAAATTCCTATGTATTTCAAATAATTACTGTCTTTTTAATGGGAAATTTCAGTCCAATTCAACAAATTCAATTCAATAAATTTTCAGTTCAATTAAATGAATAACTAGCGAAGCAAACGAATAACTGAAAATGTTCCGTCATGTAAGCACTTCCTATGCCCTGACACTGCTCCTCCAGGGTTGGGGAGGCTCCAGAAGAAAACAGCAAAGACTCCTAAAGGATTTTCTGGTATTGTTAGAGAGGTAGGATTTTTGTGTGGAATAATTACAGAGAATAATTAGAGAATTTCTGAGGAAAGTTAAAGAAAAAAGAGAGGGGAGAAAGAAAGAAAAAAACAAGGTTTCAAGCAGACTTAGAATAAAAAGCAGGCAAAGGTTTTGTTCTAAGCTAATTTTTTTGGTAATGACAGCTAACACTGAGGGCTTCTGTACATTAGGCCTTGCATGAAGAACTCACATAAACTACCTCATTAAAGCTCATATTTACAAACAGGAATATCTAGATCCCAGTGACTCATGTAATGGGTACTATTCTTCCATATTTAATATAGATACGGGCAATATTACTCTCCAAGTTTGCCTCACTCAACTTCAGCTGGTCTATGTGTGTGCCTGCATGGGGTGGGGGTGGGGGGGCAGAGAGCTTGTGACAGGCAGCGGGACTCACCTGAGGAAGTCTTTGGAGCGAATAGGCGAGCTGGGCCAAGGCGATCCCTTCTCTAGGCAAGCTGATCTGCACACATGGGAAGATGGGCTCGCTGGCAGGGCAGAGGAGGTGGCAGACACATGAAGAGCAAGAAGCTGGACCCCACTGATGGCTAGCCACTGGCGAGAAGCTGCTGTAGCCCAACCCAGCTACCCGTTCTGCTTTTTCTAAGGAATAATTATTTGGATTTTCCAAGGTCTCTTTGCATATTTATCCTTCCATAGCTGCTATTAATTTTAGAGTCTGAGGACACATATGTGCAGGGATGTTTTTCTATCTCAACTGTTGTCTTTGGTTTCAACTCAGCTTCTTTTGGGTGAATACACATTAAGTATGGAACTCTCCCTTCCCTCTTTTCCTTCCTTTCTGTCTGGGGGAACACAAATTCCCACGTGGAGAGGAATGGGCATGTACATGGAGTCCTGGCATCAGGAGGGAGCTCTGGCCTGTGAGACGTTCTCCCTCCCCTGGAGGCACATGTGGCCCTGGTTGGGTTCCTTTCTTGCTACTGCACCCCTGGCTGAGAGCTGTAAGCCCAGCAGCTCTGCGGCTGCCCCTGCACTGTGTGTCTTCCTCGTTCAGTGACCTAATATGTTAATTAACTCCACTTTCTCTTGGAGGGTCTGAGATTCTTGACGGTGTTTCCAAACCATGCAGGAATTCACCGAATGTGAGAGGATGCCCTAATCTAGTCACAGAACATCTAGTATCTGCCTGAACCCTCCCACTCCCATTCCCACCCCCAGCCATCACTGTCTGCTCAGAGATATGTGAGATACAGCACTTCTCTGTGAGGCTTGCACTCCCCCTAGCAGCAGTCCTGGGCACCAGATCAGCCCCTCTGTCCACAGAGCCCCTCAAATGTTAGCTTCCATTTAATAGTCTGGACTCTGTCACACATGAATTAGCTCATGCTGAATGAAACCCAAGTAGTGGATGAGTTCTTCTATAATCTTTCCCACCCTTTCCCTGCTCAAAATTCACTTTTGAGGGACAGGTAACCTGCTCTTGTGTGTCCATACTTCTCTCTTCAGGTTGCTCTCTCAGGTTTGCAGGCCCTGAGCCCTTTTGGAGAAGACCTGACTTCTCTTTCAACCTGTCTGGCTCCTGTGTTAGAAAATTTACTTCCAAGACTACTTTTGTTAAGACTCTGAATTGGGACTCAGAGCTGAACAATGATTTTTTTGTTCTTGCCTTCATACTCTCTTTTCCTAAAGACAGCAAGCATGGAAAGTTACCTGCTGTCTGGAAGGAAACAGGAATATAATGGTTACAAGAATGCTTGAGGAGAAAAACTTAATCAAGATTGCAAAATGCCATCTGCTATATTACAATACTTGTATATCTTAATTAAATTTCTTACAACCTGTGCAACACAGTACAGAAATCCCCTTTAAAATGCTGGTATTTGGGCTCCAGGATACTCATGGTACAGATTTCCTGAGTTCCAGTGTGGTACTTGCAGGACATCGTTTGCTCCACAGGAAACGATCCAATCCACAGTACAACCAAACTTCAAAATAGCTTCATTACTAGATTTTTCTACATGACCAATTCTTTCCATTTTACCTGTAAAATAAGTGAAATCCACTGATAAGGTAACCACATCATTTTTACTAGTATCTTTAACATTTATCTAAGCATATTCTTTTTATAGGCAAGAGCAATCATACCTAGTAAAATAATTAAAACATTAGTTTGGATTTTTCCTTCTTTCCCAATCCTTGAGGAAGATAGATACTAAGGAAGACAGAAACAGAAAGAGATCAGAACATGATAAAATGTTAGGGATTTAAAAAAAATCAATCTATGCTAGGATTACACTATGTAGACTGAATGCATGCAAATTCAGAGGAGAAAGGAAGCCTGGAAAATGAAAACTAGCTGACTTTACAGTGGGGTGGGATTGTGATTATTTTAACTCTAAAATTTTTAGCTAGTGTTACTGTGTTAAAATTACATACAATCACTGGGGATTTACAACAAAATGATTTTTAAAGATTGAGAGGAAATGGAAGGGAGGAGACAAGAATAAGGTTAAATAACTTGAATTTTGGTAAATTCCAATTGATCAATTCTCCCTGGCTGGGAAGAAATGACAAGAAATCTATGGTGTTTAGAAATCATATTAAAACAAAGCATCACATCTCTCATAGGCTTTGGGTGGTTCATTTCCTGTTAAATGGGTGTGCAGAAAGGACATTCTTTTCCTCAAACTGAGCAATTTAGATGTCTAATTTGAGGTCAGGTCCCTTTAGGCAGAGGACGTGTTTTGTCTGGCGAACACAGTGAACGCCGAACCTCTCCCACTTGTTCTCTCTCCGGATTATTTGCTTACTCTGGGTAATGAGAGGATGGCGTGGTTTGTGAACCAGTTGTTGTTATTCTTTGCCTGCTTATCATATTGGCTTTTTTGTAAGAAAAATTACAAGAATATATAAAAGTTTTTGGTGAATAGAGCCTTTTATTTTTAGGAGAAAATGGATGGAACAGTTTGGGGCTTTGGAGCCACCTGCCGCTCTTGCGTGAGCACCTCCCACTGCCTTGACTTTTTATTGGGCTGCGTGCTTGGTGCCAAGATTTACTCCGCCGCTATGGGGAACAACTGGATTTGGCATAAGTGAGAATAACTGCTTTTCCCCTGGGGAGAGACAAAAAGGGTAAGTGTGCAAGGCGCAGAGACAATATTGTCGGGAGTTATATTCCTGTTCAGCTCTTTTATTCCCTCTGAATCTTCGATTCTGTTGCAAATAATAAAATCAAAAAGCCAGCTGGCTTGGAGCCAAGGTCTGGGATTAGCAGACGATTTTTATTCTGGGATAAAAATATGCTTGTCAGTGATGGTTCTGTACATTAAAAATATGGCCATTTGGATTAAAATTGGGTTTTTTTTTCTTGTAAATTGAGATACTGCCAGGAAAGCACAAATTAATAACAATTTGAATTAGGTAGGGAAAAAGGGGTTTCTATCAAGTTCCTGGAAACCCAGATGGTGTTTGTGCACACCTGTTACTGCTTGCTGCAACTTCTCAGTTTGCACTGTGCTCTCTGAATTTGGGTTGCATTGTTATTATTCCCTTAATAAACTGTATCTTTTTCTCTCCCTTAGTTTAAATTGTGAGGTGCTTTTTTACTCTAACACTACTCTAAAGCCAAATGATGTCACTTCTCTGTTCCATTTTTTCCTATAAAATACACTGAGTTAGAGGCAAGAACTCTTTGAATTCAGGCAAACCTGGGTTGGAAACCTAGCTTTCCTGCATGCTACCTCTCTTTGTGATCCTAGGGAAATTACTTAATTTTTCTTCACTTCAATTTTCTCACTGATAAAATGAGGAATAATAATAGTCCACATCTTGGGCTTTGTGAAGATTAATGACATAATATATAAGGAGTATTTTGCATTGCACCTCTGCAATAGTAATGTTAATATAGTAATATAGTAATAGTAAGTATAATAATAATATTGCATTGAATGGTAAGTACCCAATAAAATTTTGTTATCTTGATCATTATTGTGTTATAAAATATTCACAGAGGAATTTGTAGCTTAAAAAATAAGAAAGCTTTAAAAATGAAATAAGCATCCAACTTAAAAAGCTAGAAAAAGACAAAGAAAATGTTGAGTTATAAATATACCTTCCCTTTCTGGTTATATAGAAGACTAGATGTTTGATAAGATCTTCAAGCATGGAACTAAAAATTCTGAATCAAGCATATCTTAACAAAAAAAAATTTGGCTGGTCTATTGGGAAAAAGAAGGATATCCTTGCCGTAGATTAATACAGTATAAACCCATTGAGATAAGCCTATTGATGCTGGTGTTTTTCATGGAGGTTTCTGGCTCTTAGATAGCCATATGCTGAGGAGGATAGACAAAAACACAAACCCTATAAAAGCTGAGGGAATGGACTGGAAAACATCTTCGGAAGCCAGAATTTCAGAGAAGTTATACTAGGTTCATTCAAGAGCGTTGACCTGGGGTACATTGGTGAGGGTAGGGGTGCCCTAGAGAGAAAGACAGTGGGGAGAATTTGCCTATTATCTTTAGACTTAAAGGAAAATTAAAAATGGGGAAAATACCTGGGGAATATCTAAGCACACGTTTATTATCACATGTGTTTAGGACTAGAATTTATACCATTTGTGTTGCCCCCCCCCCCACGAATAAACCTAAGCCAAATAAAGGTTAAAAGTGCTCCCAAATATTTGGTTAACAGGAACAGAATATCAGAATAAATTTAAAGAAGGCAGAGGATGGAAATAATAGAAGAAAAACTTAATGAAATAGAAAATGAAGAAACAGTAAAGTACATATTTTGAACAGACTAATAATAGTGACAAACCTTTGGAGATCTTGACCAAAAATGAGAAAATACAAGCAATATTAGTAATGAAAAGAGGACGTTATTTGGATGCTAAAAGGATCTAAAAAATTGTTTGGGAATGTCTTGCCAATGGGTTTCAGCCCTGGGCAAGTTTGCTGTGGATTCAATGTGACCAAAGAAATTGACAGCAAAACGTTCTTTGGCTTGTTCCCCTGTTGGCAGGTTGAGCTCTAGTGTCTCTGCCTCTGCCCAGAACACTGGGCGGAGCTCTCTATATAGTGCAATAATAGCTTATTGGTTAAAGGTGTGGAAGCGGTAGCCTAGCAACTGGCAGTTACATCATCAGGTGGTTTAAGTTCACTGAGGATCCTGGCTATAGGAACCCCAAATTCTCCACAGGGAAACTGTTGCCAATAAATCTGAAAACATGTGAAATGCACAAATTCCTAAACAGTGTTTCTCAAACTTTAGCATTTTATCAGAATCACTGGGAAGAAAGGATTAAAGATGGCAGCATGAGAGCTGAGGCAGAGGCTTCCTCCTAAAAGTGCATATAATATGAAAATATAATTAATACAGCTAATCCTGAAGGAGAAACAGGAAAGAGGACTGTGCCAAACTGCATACACCTGGAGAAAAGAATGAAGTTCACAGAACAGGGTAACATACTAAAGCTGTGGCCTGGTGGGACCTGAGCCCTTCCCCCATCTCAGCTCACTGGCAGGAGGAAGAGAAATGGAGTGAGGAGGGAGTGGAGGCCTGGGATTGCTGAATATCTAACTTTAGAGATATGCTCTGGGAGCACAAATACATTTCGTGGTGCATGGTACTCTTGTGATTAGAGGGTTGGAAAGCTAGGACATGCAGAATACCTGAAAAGACTGAGATTCCAGCTGCTTGTGGAAAGCAGGGATCTATATCTGGCTGCTCTGGGACAAAAGAAAGGTGAGCAGTCTGAGACACTTCCTAACAGCAAGAGGACTGCTAAAGGGGCAAGGATTGCACAGAGCTTACTGCTCAGGAGAAAGGACAGGTAGACAAAATTGTCCAGGTGCACTCTGTCCAGCAGGTTGGGAACTTTCACAATCTTCAGGCACTCCAGCTCCCTGGCTGGCTACACAGCTCCAAGGATGCCCCCTGTGATACACAGCCTACTGCACCTTTCTCCCAGCCAGCCCCACCTGACTCACAAACCAGCAAACACTACCCTGGCATTAGGCCAGCCAGAGGGAAGCCCTGTCTACAACAACTATAAATGCAAAGCATAGAGGATTATACCTGTGTGCTAGGCCCAATGGTTCAGGCAGTGGAGACAGGCATAGCAGCCAGGAAGCAGGAAACAGCTCTTCCCCCCAGGGACCAACACTATTCCCATGCAACCCCCAACATTGTTTCAGGGACTAAGCAGCTCCAGAGAGTAGAGCTTATGGGCACTAGAGGGTGCCATATACAAATATGAAAAGCGAAAGGAACCTGGTTCAAAGTGAAATTATGAATATAACACCTGAGAAAGATTCAAATGAAATCCACCTCATAAATCTTCCTGAAAGGGATTTCAAAATAAAAATCATTAACATGCTCATGGAGGTAGAGAAAAATGTTCAAGAACTCAAGAATGAATTCCAGTAGGAGATCCAATCATTACGGAACACAGTATCAGAAATGAAACATACAATGCAAAGTTTTAAAAGCAGATTAGATATGGTGGAGGAGATGATAAATGACATAGGAATTAGAGAAGAGGAATACAAAGAAGCTGAGCCACAGAGAGAAAAAAGGGTCTCAAAGAATGAAAGAATATTGAGAGAACTGTGTGACCAATCCAAATGGAACAATATTCACATTATAGGGATACCAGAAGAAGGAGAAAGAGAAAAACAGATAGAAAGTGTCTTTGAATAGGTAATTGCTGAAAATTTCCCCAATCTGGGGAAGGAGATAGTCTCTTAGGCTATGGAGGTGCACAGATCTCCCAGTACAAGGGAGCCAAGGAAGACAACACAAGACATATAGTAATTAAAATGGTAAAGATCAAGGATAAGTACAGACTATTAGAAGCAGCCAGAGAGAGAAATAAGATCACATACAAAGGAAAGCCCATCAGGCTAACATCAGACTTCTCAGCAGAAACCTTACAGGCCAGAAGGGAGTGGCATGATGTATTTAATACAATGAAACAGAAGGGCCTCAATCCAAGAATGCTTTCTCTGGCAAGATTATTATTTACATTTGAAAGAGGGATTAAACAATTTCCAGATAAGAAAAAGCTAAAAGAATTTACCTCCCACAAACCATCTCTACTGTGTATTCTGGAGCAACTGCTATACATGGAAGTGTTCCTAAGGTTTAATAACTGTCACCAGAGGTAAGAAAACCACAGTAAAGAAAGTAGAACAGTTAATTACTAAGCAAATGCAAAATTAAATCAACTATGCCCAAAGTCAATCAAGGGATAGATAAAGAGTACAGAATATGATACCTAATATATAAAGAATGGAGGAGGAAGAAAAAGGAGGAGAAAAAAAGAGCCTTTAGATTGTGTTTGTAACAGCATACTAAGTGAGTTAAGTTATACTCTTAGATAGTAAGAAACATAACCTTGAACCTTTGGTAACCAAGAATATAAATCCTGCAATGGCAGTAAGTACATACCTATCAATAATCACCCTAAATTTAAATGGTCTGAATGCACCAATCAAAAGACACATAGTCACTGAATGGATAAAAAACCAGACCCATCTACATGCTGCCTACAAGAGACTCACTTTAAACCCAAAGACATACACATACTAAAAGTGAAGGGATGGAAAAAGATATTTCATGCAACTAAAAGGGAGAAAAAAGCAGGAGTTGCAGTATTTGTATCAGATAAAATACACTTCAAAATAAAGAAAGTCACAAGAGACAAAGAAGGACATTACATAATGATAAAAGGGTCAATCCAACGAGAAGATATAACCATTATGAATATCTTTGCACCCAACACAGGAGCACCTACATATGTGAAACAAATACTAACAGAATTAAAAGAGGAAAGAGAATGCAGTGCATTCATTCTAGGAGGTTTCAACACTCCACTCACTCCAAAGGACAGATCAACCAGACAGAAAATAAGTAAGGAGGCAGAGGCACTGAGCAACACATTAGAACAGATAGACCTAACAGATATATACAGAACTCTACACCCAAAAGCATCAGAATACACATTCTTCTCAAGTGCACATGGAACATTTTCCAGAATAGATCATGTACTAGGCCACAAAAAGAGCCTTGGTAAATTCAGAAAGACTGAAATTGTACCAACCAGTTTTTCAGACCACAAAGGTATGAAA